AGAAATAGGAGAGCTGTGACTAGGTGGTTCTTTAAGAGGGATACTGGGATTAGAATTTTATCTATCTATTGTACATCAGATATTTGTAGTCTAGAGGTAAATGCTCTTTTAGGGTGATTAATTATGGCAGAATGATCGATCAGAGTACAGTGTCCATCTGAAAAGAGGGAACAGAGGCACAGTTCAAGTGCAAAACCTGGAAGCATGTACTGGGTGAGTACAGCACTTGTGCACATGGGGAACAATAGAACCTAGTCTACTGCTCCAAAGATTGGGGCTTTAGGAAGTGGTTTATGTGGTTTTACAACAAAAAGAGGCAGGAGAATAGAAGGAATACAGAGTACCCGGAACCAGGATGTTTGTGCAAGTTCTGTCCATTTGGAGCCAGTATGAATCATTTTGAGCCCCAACCCTATGGTTGCTGGCACAGCAGAGGTGTTCCAGGTTCACCCAGTGGACACCTCAAAGGATCACTGGTATGTCAAACTCAAGAAACACACATTTTGCCTCCTGATTGGCTGATTTTGATTCCTAGGTTATTTCAGCCTCTCTTGGATAATAAGCAAGCTCAAGCAAATCAAGGTGATTAGTAAACTCATTATTCATTCCATTTCTACAAGGGTTCAGATTAAAAGCCATTTTCTCTTGTCTCTCTACATGGGAAGTAACCTGTTCCTGAGATCCTGATCTTTAATATCCCCAAAAAAGCAACAATGAGACCAGCCCAGACCTTCCCTCCAGAAGTGCACAAAGTCAGCTCTAACATCAAGTCTGAAGTCAGGAAGTGGCTGAAAGAAAGAACGAACAATTCCACCACAAAATGCTGTTATAGTGACAGGGATACTCAAGACACAAACCCAGAAGAAGAGAATGACTTTAAAACATCTACAAGCAAAGCAAAAAACAACCACCACCACCACCAACCCATAGCTCAGGTACAAATTCAATTAGAATTCCTAGAACAGATGAAGCAAGAGGGATTTTCCCCAAAGTTTATATATACATATATATGTGTATATATATGTATATATATATGTATATATATATAAACACATATACATCTATATAATATATACATATATAATATATATATATAAACACATATACATCTATATAATATATACATATATAATATATATATACATGTGTGTATATATATGGATGTATACATATATGTATATATATGTGAATGAAATAAGAGTGCTAAAGGAGGGAAAATAGCAAATTGGAGCTAAGGAAGAAAGAATTGGAAAAGGAATTAACAACTTGGCAGAAGAGGTAAAAAAAAAAAAAAAAAAAAAACACCTTGCCCCAGCAACAAACTCCCTGAAAATTAGAACGGATCAAATAGAAACCAATAACTCTATGAGACAACAAGAAACATTAAAACAAAAGATTGAAAAAAGTAGAAGAAACTGCAAGATATCACATAGCAAAAACAACTGACCCAGAAAGCAACAAGGAGAAAGAAATTAAGAAACAGTATCTGAAAGCCACGAACAACAACAACAGTAAAGAATGTAGACATCATATTTCAAAAAATCTTGAAAGAATGTAGATATCTTATTTCAAGAAATCTTAAAAACTACCCAGATCTCTTAGAACCATAGGATAAAATGGAAACAAAGAATCCACTAATCACTTCCTGAAAGAAACCCCAAAATGCAAACTCTCAAGAATGTTGTTGCCAAAATCCAGAGCTTCAAGGTCAAAAAAATATTACTGCAAGAAAGACAAAAGAAATAAGTATTGAGAAGCCATAATCAGAATCACACAAAATTTAGCAGCCTATACTGTAAAGGACTAAAGAGTTCAGAGTACTATATTCTAAAAGACAAAGGATATAAAAAACATACCTAGCAAAAATGAATATAATCCTGCTGGGGGCAGGGGTATGGATCTTTAATGAGATTGAAGATTTCTAAGCATTTCTGATAAAAAGACTAGAGCTGTGTAGAAACCTTGAAGTTCAAACACAAGAGTTAAGAGAATCCTAAAAAGGTAAACAGTAGTAAAAAGGAATAATCAATCAGTAGACATTTGGTAAGTGTCTATTATGTGCCAAGCACTGTGCTAAGCATGGGTGATACAAAAAGAGGCAAAAGATAGTCTCTGCCCTCAAGAGGCTTACAATTTAATTAATGGGGGAGATACAAATATATGTGAACAAGCTATATACAGGACAAATATGAAATAATTAACAGAAGGAAGGTACTAGAATTAAGAAAGATTGGGAAAGACTTCCTGTAAAAGATGAAATTTTAATTGGGACTTAAAGGGAGCCATGGAAGTCAGTAGGCAGAGTTGAGGAGGGAAAGCATTCCAGGCTTTGAGAACAACCAGAACCAAGAGTATACTTACATTCTAATATTGGGAGATGATACATGTGTCCCCTCTGAACCTTACCATCATCACTGGTCACAGGGGGAATCTAATTAGAAGGCCTGGGAGTGGGTTTAATGATGTCTTGATGATTTTAGAAGAATAAAAAAGGAAGGGAAGAGGAAGACCCTTGGGGATGGGGAGGGAAAGGATTATCTTACATTATCAGAGTGCTCAAGTAGAAATTGTGTGTATGTGTGTATGTGTGTGAATTACACGAACTACAACCCAGGAGGATGGATAGTGAAGAAGGGGTTAAAAGGAGAAAAAGAAGGTTAGAACCTGTCTTTGGGATATGATCAAGAGGAAGAGAGGAAGGACAGGATGACAGAAGCAATTAAGTCAAACATAGATGCTAGTATTGAGGAAACTGTTCTCAGTGCCCTCCTTTTCTTTGTAAAGGGAAGAAGAATGGGGCAAAAAAGAAAAAGTATAAATATAGGATGGAGGGAAATACACAATAATCATTCCTGCAAATGTAAAAGGGATAAATCCATCCATAAAATGGAAGAGAAAAGCAGAATTGATTAGAAAGGAGAATCCAACAATATATTTTTAAAGTAAGAAACATACTTAAAGCATAAAGATTCACATAGGGTTAAAATATTGAACCAGAGCAAAATCTATCATGCTTCAGTTGAGCTCTACAAAGCTGTGTAGATCATGATCTCAGACAGAGCAACCACAAAAATGAACTTGATTAAAAGAGATAAAAAGGGAAACTAATGATAAACAACAAATCAATATCAACACAACATACTGGCATATCTTCTAAAATTCTTACAAGAACTAGCTGTGTGAACCCTGGCCAAGTCAATTAACCCCAATTACCTAAAACAAAACAAAAACAACAAAATTAACTTCTTCAGGGGCAGTTTGATGGCACAGTGGATAGAGCACTGGCCCTGGAGTCAGGAGGACCTGAGTTCAAATCCAGCCTCAGACACGTGATACTCATTAGCTGTATGACCCTGGGCAAGTCACTTAACCCCAATTGCCTCAAAAAAAAAAAGTTCTTCTCTAAAATTCTTACAAGAAAAGTTAATTGTTTTACAAGAAGAAATAGATAGTACAACTATAATGGTTGGGGATTTCAAAATGCCCCATTCAGACCTATACAGATCTAACAACCAAAAACAGCTAAGACAATGAATAGAACTTTTAGAAAAGATCTCTGGTGATTACTAATTGGGAATGGAAAAGTATATACACATTTGTCAACATTGTGTGGCACTATTATAAAAACTGACATGAATTGGGGCATTAAAACCTCACATATGCAAAAAAGCAGAAGTATTAAATAAATGTAACAAAAATTATATTCAGTAAAGAGCCATTAAAAAATAACTAAAAGTTAAGCTAGAAATAACATAATCCTTTAAAAAAAAATGTGGGTCAGAGAAACAACAGAGATTTTCATCAAAGAAAATGGCAACACTGAGACAGCACACCAAAACTTTTTGGATGTAGCCAAAATAGACTTTATGACAAAATGTATGTCTCTAAACACTTTCACCAATCAAAGAAAGAAAAAACAGATTAATGAATTGGTCATGCAACTAAAAAACTAGAAAACTAATGATCTAAAAACCCCAATTAGACTAAAGTTTGCAGATTGCTTTACATATAATATTATTATCCCCATTTCACAGATGAAGGAAATTGAGGATGACAAAAGTTGTATTGTGAGTGTTGTATGTGTATATTGTATGTTTTAGAGGTGGGATCTGAACCCAGATCTTGCTGACTATCCAGCAGTCTAACCACAATGCAATTCTGCTATTCCAGGAACTAATAACAAATTCTCAATCTTATGTGTTGGCCAGTAACCTAAATTTATCTTTATGACATGGTTAACACCTAACACCATAAAGTGAATTCAATAAAATGCAACTTCAAATTCTGTACAAATATTTAATATTGTTCATTATTAAAATATATTAAAGCAGCATATAATGGATAATCAAAATATTTCCCATTATTTCTGATGATTTCTCATTTTCATGTCTTTCCTCTATATCAGGTTGTCCACTCAAAAAATGAGAATACAGTGTTGAAGAAAGATGATCTTTTATTGTTAGAAGTTATAGTACAGCATACAAAGATAGTATAGGACGAGAAGTTATAGTAGTTTTTCTCCTCATTCCTTACCAGCTATACTACCTTTGGACTTCTTTGGGACTCTTCAACATGCCTTCCTTTCCCAGGAAACCCCTCATTGGGAAATCTCATTATACTGTAAGACTGAATCTTGTTGGTACTCACATCTCATCCATGCCCTCTGCCTCTCTGATTGGACTCTTAGACTGGAGGGCAGGGCCAAGGGCTCCAGGACTTTTATATAAAGAGGGAACTTTTTAGCTTCCTTGCATGGACTGTGTTTGTTTTTATTTGTGTTTGTATCTCCAGCATTTAGCACAATGTTTGGTGCTTAAGAAATGTTTATTGACTGAATGACTATAAAAATGGAAATGTACAGTTTCCTTCTGCCCCAATATGAAGACTATTGTCTCAGTACTGAGCAATACATGCATGAAAAGATAGCAAAATAGATAGATCAGTGATGAAATCTTAACCAAATTTATTTTTGTCAATGAAAAATGCTTTTTATCTTACAGAGACTTTGAAGGCAACCATATCCACAATTTAAGAAACATGACTTTCATTTCCTGTAGTACTTTAACTGTTTTGTAAGTATCACAATCAAAAAGAATTTTATTTGCTAAAAAAAAAAAAAGCTAAGGTAAGCAAATGCATGATAATTATTGATGGATGTTACCCCCAGTTAAAACTTCTATGAAACAAAGAGTGAGTGAAAATGGTCAAGTTTAAGCTCTGTACAACCAAAGAAGCATAATATACAATAGTCATCAAAATGATACTATAACATCTTGGGGTACTGTCAAGTCTGATTTTCCTGTGTCACTAGGGTATCTGTGACCTGAAAGACTTTCCTGTAGGATAAAGTTTATTTGTAATCCATATTAGCATCCATGTGGGCCTTCCATGGTGGGCCTTCCTTAAAATTGAAAAGTTTCTTACCTACTTCTCTGTCCCAGAAAATATAGGATTCTCGTGGCCCAATAGTGCTCCTTTTACTGCTTTTACTCTACTCTATATATTCTATTCATATCAGTTACACTCCGTTTGAGGATTTTAGTCCTTTTATTACCTAGTGACAGTGAGACACATAAAAATGCTTGATGGAGAAGGTGAAACTTAGCATACAATCTCCTTTAAGTTAGTCATGCAAAGCATGTATCTATCAGATTTATCTTACTAGAAATCAGTCAGCTAGCCTAAAAGATAATGGATAAATTCCACATTTCTATTTTATGTCCTTGAATGTGTTCCTTACTAAATTCTTTTATTTGTCAGAGATCACTTAAATATGTTTCCTCCACTCATGTGCTTGAGTTTTCTTAGTCCAGTGATACTGGGAGTTTTGGGAAAAAGAGATGAAAGAGGTTTGGATTTAGTACCTGATAAGCGGGGGAAAGTACAAATTTATAAGCTAGTGATTACATTTATGGCCTTGGAAACCTTCTGAAACTCTGTGCAAGGCTGCCTTTTACATATTTTAGCTAGGTAGGAGGGGAAAGGGAAATCACTAAGGTCCTCACTTTAATTCCAGTTCCTTTTGAGGGTCTAAAAGTGGGAGCCTACTAAATTGTTCCAACTTGGGACAAGAACGGACTTTCTTAAGCAGCTGCAGAGTAGTAAGTCAACTCAAATTAAAAACTTTTAAATGTTTACCATGAGCAAAACACTGCATAAGACATGCATGATGCTCCAGAGATGTGGCAACTCCAAAATGCCAATGTTTTTGTAATCCATTCTGTAGTTTCATAAGAGAGGTTTTCACTATTTTCATTGCAAATCTCTCTCCCAGGGCATTGAAGAATTTACATCATTGCTCTTTTATTCCATTTGTGAACTTTTGGACAACCCAGGTTAAAATTAATTCAGTTGTTCTTTCTATATCTCTAAGATATCTCACTCCAACAAAACACAATGGAATGACTCATAGACTCAATATCTTTGATTTTCCTGATGAATAATCATTGTCACCCTTTGATCTTATAAGGTAGCAGTGGTGTCAAGAGGCTAAAGCATTTTTTTCTTTATTTTTTCAGGGTAATGAGGAAAAATGAAATCAGCCACTTAAATGAAAATAGCTTTGCTCCCCTTCAGAAACTAGATGAACTGTAAGTCTGGGGTAGGATTGAATGGTAGGGAGTGGATGACTTTAAAAAAAATTAGAAGTTATTCTAAAGATTTTTTTTCAGTTTTCACAGTATTTTAGGGACTTGTACAGTCCATGATATCCATCTCTACCCACACTAAGCATAAAAATAAGTGATTGCATTTATTTCATAATTCATTTTGCTATGTATAATTAAAACATTTACAGGAAAAACAGTTATAAAATATATTGTGTCTTTTTGTCAGAGAAAAATTCACTTAAACTGGCCTCTCTGTTAAAATCTAATAATCTAATTTTTTACATGATGTGAGATTTCTGTCTCTTGAATTATCACCATACAGCGAGAAAACCCAAGATATAATCATAGGCCCATAGAGATGGTTAGCTTTCTGGACTATGAATCTAGTTATTTGGTAAGAAGTTAATTCTAGATCAGTCCCTTAACTTTTCCTAATCTCAGTTCTTTATCTGAAAAATGAGGGAGTTGGACTAGATGGTCTCTGAGGTCCCTTCTAGTGTAGATTTATGATCCAGTGGTCCCACAAGCCTACTCTTCTTATTGGGCAAACTTAGAAAGGAAAGGCCTTTTTTTTTTTTTTTTTTTTTGCCTTGGAGGACAATGGTGAATGGTATGAAACTTCAATTCCATCCTGCTAAAAAGGATCTGAAACTTGTTTCATTCATTCATTCATTCAATTGTAGGAGAAAGAGACAGAGAAAGAGACAGAGACAGAGACAGCGACAGACTCTAGGAGCTCTCACTCACATTCATAAATCAGGTTCCCAGAAGGGTAGCTATATTCCCCTTCAACATTCTAGAGTTACTCCTAAAGGGGTATAGGTATCTTTCCAAAACTGTTGGCTTGAGGTCCAATTCTGGTACATTCTCTTTAATATCTATTCTCTTCCGTTCTAGCCTATCTAAATATCTACTGTCGCTTATAGTTAATATCCTTCCTTTATCAATGATTGACCCAGTGATTAGTATACCATTCTCAATCTGACAAATTAACCCTAATTAGCTTTTACAAAGGGATATTTACTGAAAACATAAAGGCAAGACATAAAGCATGAAACATCTGCTAACTAGGGTATATTCTTCCCTATTCTACCTCAGTCCATGGCAGCATGAGTCAAACCTAAGGTTATTGCTACAAAGCATTCATCACACTAAGTTCACTTCCAAATGTGGCATAGCTAATAGACAAGTTGTTCTCTTGCTGCAGGACATGAAATCTAGGCTACCAGCTTGATCCATGGCTGTGTTGAGGCAAGCAGGGCACTCCTCAGGGCTGCCAGCAAACACCTGTATGGATTCCAGTTCCTGGATTTCTGGCAGCTCACCTTTCCAACCTTTCAAAGCTCAGAAGGACACAGCATCTCCAATAACCCTTCACATCAATACAAGCTAGAATAGATAAAATAGAGATAGAAACTACATCTATATCATGTTCTCAAAGCTTCCTGTCAACTCAATTAGAGACAAATCAAGGTCTCTTTCCCACCCAGAGGTCCATAGCATTCATATCAATTGAAGAGAATATGGTGATAATGATCTTAACTAGAGGGGTGGCCATGTAAGTACAGAAAAGGATAGGGATTTGAAAGATGCTGTGAGGATTGAAGAGGTAGCAAATAATTGGATATGGAGAATGAGAGAGGGAAGAGTTGAAGATGAGTTTGAGGTTACAAATCTGTATTCCTGAGAAAGTGATTCTACTCATACAAAAATAGGGAAGTTTGGATTTGGAATAGGTAGAGGTGGAAGGAAAATGATGTTACATTTTGTATATCATAAGTTTGTTTGCTGATGAAACGTCCAGGTGGAGGTATTTAGAAGGCAAAGATAAGGGCTAGCTATATAAATCTGGGAGTTGTAAAATCATGGAAGCTAATGAGTTAGGATGGGTAAGAGTGGAGAGAAGAGAAGAAGGCTCAGCAAAGAACCTTAAGGGACCACACAAATCTCCTCCACGCTGACTTCATCCTGTGTAAGTACATGATGGACCAGGCCCACCTAGAAAAGTAGCCCATCTGGCAGATAATGTACCTTGGAGATCCAATAGACAACTATCATTTCTAAGTGAGATAATGGATCTCCTGGGTGGTATCAGTTTTTGATGACTCCATCTGAAAACTTATCTGCCATGTTTTGAGCATTACACATCCATATTTGACCAGTGGATGCTTGTAGAGATCTTAGGAAACCAACTAAAGATATGGATGGCCAAATATTTTTGGAGTGCCAATAAGGCTAGACAGGCCTTCATCTGCAATCAAGCAGAAAATATCAAGTCCAAGAACCTTGTGAAGAAGATGGACTTTGATAAATTATCCAACATCATAGCCTCCTCCCACCAATCACTTTGTCCCACTATTCTCACCATATTTTTTCTCCAACATATATACTGTTTCTTAAATAAAAGTTCTTTATTTTCCTTTTTAAAAAAAGAATGAAGGAGATGAAGGTGTCTATTATAAGCAGCAGCAAAGGAGCAAGTATGCAGAGAAAGATTGGATATGGAAATGGGGGGGGTGAGAAGGAGGGAAGGAGGAATTGATGATTCATGAGGAAAATTTCTAAAGCATACCAAGAAGAGCAGGGCTAGGATTAAGGGCACAAGTAAAGAGGTTAGCTTTGGCAATGAGAAGGCTATCTCTCTTTCAGAGTTTGGAATAAAAGGGAAGATAAAAAAGAGTGAAGGCAAGAAAACCTGTTGGGAGGTTATTGTAATAGTCTTAGTGTACTATTAAACAAGGAAGGAAAGCCTGTACTAGAATGGTGGTAATGTAAGGCATGAAGGAGTCATGAAAGGGAGAATTGGCAGGGCTTGGTGATAAATTGGATATGAAAAATAAGAAAAAAAAGGAAAGCCAAGGTAACCTCTAAGGTTTTGAACATGAGAGCTAAGATGAATGATTGTGCCCCAAGGTAGAAATAGTGATGTTATGAGAGCATGTTTAAGGGAAAGATAATAAGCTTAGCGGATCTGGGCAAACAATTTATACAATTATAACATCATAAAGAAAAATAACTTTGAAAGACTTGAGAACTCTGATCAATGCAATGATAATAAAAAATTTCAGATGACTAATAAAATTTGATGTGCCTTCTGACACAGAGGTGACGGACTCATGGTGCAAAATGAGACATTTTAGACATGGCCAAGGCAGGAATTTGCTTTGATTGATTATGTATGTTTGTTGTTGATAGTGGGCAGTGGGGGACAGGAAGGAAAAGGATACTTATTCTTTGAAAAAATAGAAAATAAGTTTTGATCTTAGCATAGTGTGAAGGAAGATGGAGATGCAAGTCTGGAAGTCAGAAGAGAGGTCAGGACTGGAGATAGTGATTTTAGAGACATTTGCATAGAGCAAGTGAATAAAGTGCCAAAGGAGAAAATATGGAAAAAGAAAAGGACCAAGAAAAGAATCATCTTCAGGAGTTATTAAGCTCTACCCCACCCAAGGGGTTCAGCCAGCAGGACAGTCCTTTCCCTCTAGTTTTATTTTTCCTTTTGCCAAAAACAAGGGAATTCTAGAGTGCCACAGCATCACAGATGGCCCAGCTTTCTGCTTGCAGCATCAGGCAATACAGTGAATGTCTAGTCAGAGGTTCCCAAACTTACTTGGCCTACTATCCCCTTTCTCAAAAAAATTACTCAGTGCTCCCCTGGAAATCTACTTTCTTTAATCCTTTAATCCTTTTTTAAAAAATTTACATCATATCAAAAATGCAATTTTTAAATGACGTACCTTAAATTTAGTGATTTATTATAAATCCCTGCATTGAAATTTTGATGATACAATATTGCATCGTGTAGCTATATAGTATCATATTATAAACAGGTCATTACACACACATATTCCTGCTGATTCGTGTTGGACTTCCCGACAATGCAGGATATGCTTTGCCTGCCAACACTTGCTTGTTAAGACTTGTTGGGGGACTTGACCACTGATTGGTTATAACTTACATTTCGTGTGTTTATTTTGGAAAATAATGTAATCACTATGATTTGAAGTCTATTACACAACAGATAAAACATGTACAAACAGTTTTTCAAAATTTTCTTATCTTCTTTCCCTATGCTTCCACCGCCCCTTATTTTTATTCAATGTCCCTCCAGTTGCACCCAAGCCTAGATCATTACCCCCTATTATCATTCCCCTGGATCGTTCCAGCACCCCCAGGGGGCAGTATTACCCACTTTGGGAACCTATGGTAGAGGTGTGAGGACTGGGGTAAAAGTTTAGTACTAAGATGCTTGTAGCTAGAAATTATTTACAGAATTACAGAATTTTAGGATTAGAAGGGACCTTAGCAGCTATAGAATCCAATCTACACCTGAAAAGAAATCCCCACTACAATACATATTCAAGAGGCATTTTTTAACGTATTACTATGTGCACTTTGGGAATTAGTGTTTCCCCCAGAATCAAATCCAAAAGCAAAAAAGCCAATACAGTATACAAACAAAGGACCAAACCCTTTGTTTAATGCCCATATCCCAAAAGTAGGACAGTGACATATGTGTGTTAATAGTTAAAAGAATCAGAGATAAGATTTATCAAATACTTCCCCTCATCCTTGCCACCTCTACCTCACACAAAAGTATTTGTCTTGGAAAAAGTTGTATGAAATGTATTCTGTAATTATTGTTTCTTTGCTTGCTCTACATTTTTTGATTTTTAGACCTTTTCTTATTCAGTTTTACTCACTAGTATGCCTTACCTAATAAATGTCAATGCAGTGAATGAAGTCTTGCAAATAACATGACATATTTGTCTCCTTAGGGACTTAGCAAGTAACAAGATTGAAGCTCTTCCTCCTTACCTCTTTAAGAACCTGAAGGAGCTCTCCCAACTGTAAGGTCTAGCAGGAATTGGTTTAATTCTGCTGCTTCTTTTTGTTTTCCCCACTTGGGCCACTCAAGACAGAAATGACATCCCAAATGACATCCCAAATGTGAAATATTCCTGACAAAAGCTCCTCCTGCAAAGAGGTTCCCTGAATTGCGCTGGACAGGTTGCCTCCCACATCTTGGGGCTCAGTTTCTTCATTTATAAGAGGGGTCCAACTAAGTGATCTTTGAGGTCCCTTCCAGTTCTAAATCTATAACCCTCTGATCATTTCTCATTAGGATGACCCTCTATGCTCATCACAGATCATCCCCCTTCTTCTGGTTCTCAGGCCAGACACTGACACCTGGTGATGGCTATCTTCTGGTCAACCTCCTCCTTATCTTGTGCATGAGGACATGCTCAGAGAGTTTAGGTAACTTGACTCCAGTCGCACAACTAGTAAGTGACAGAGCTGGGACCCAGGTCTCCTGATTCAACCCTAGGGCTACTTCTCCTTCATCACCATCCCCTCCCTCCACCTGTGCTCTCAGTGTCTGATTGATGAGTCTCCAACACTCCCCTAGAGATATTCTCATTATGAATCAATAGCTCTTAATAGCATGCATTTTTCCCTAAATTTTACATCTTTTAAATTCAACTACACTTTTGCTTTGAGGTAAGTATTGTTCTAGCTAAAGGAATAATTGCCTTAATCTTCATGCCTAAAAATATCTAGTATGGTACTAGTCTTCAATATATATGTTTTGGCAAAAAAATTCTTGTGTATGATTCCATAAACTCAACTTTTTTATTAAGTGATCATTTTATATTATGTTAAAGCTAGGGAAAAGTGGGAAGGAGGCTTTCCTCCCACCTACACAGTTCTTTCTTGCTGCCTAATATTCCTCTGGTACTAGAAGAGAATGAGTGGTTAACCTAATTTATACTCCAATGTTAGTAACTGTTTGCTGTCACTCTAGAACTCTCTACATCTTAAAAGAAAAATACAAAGAGAAGATAATGCTTAATGCAAAGATATACACAAAAGTGGAATTCTGGGCACTGTAGCACCTTAGCTAGGAGAGATAGTTGGGGATATAACAGTTAAAAAATTAAAGTAGAATGAGGCACAAAGTTCCAAGCATAATCAATTTATTAGTAAAGTGTGAATTTACCAATAAATAGGATCTCAGCTCCTGCAGCAAATCTAAGACCCAGTTGTGGGGTGAACAGCATTTTTTGTAGTTTGGGGAAGTACAGAAAATGGGAAGGCTAGCATCTTAGATGGAAGAAAATATGATTGGATGGAAATTGGGAGTAAGGGTTAGCAACATTCCCTCCTATGACTAAGAAATGTTCATTGTTTGAGTCCCACTACATTTGCTGGTACAGAGATAGCAAACCAGACATCTTTGCATAATAAAACAGACATCCTTGAAGGATAGCCTGGTGGGATAATTATACTACGCAAGACTCCCTGATGTCCACCTGCATCCTTCAAGGGTAACAGGTTTCCTTGACACAAGAATAGAAGAGTAAATAATGGCAGAACTGGATTTCTAAATTTAACTCATTACAGGCCAACTAAATTTTTAAATTAAATTCAGAGACAAAAAAAAAATCATGACTCAGGAAGTTATAGGACAAAAATCAATTAATTGTAAATAAGATCAATTAAAAAGTCACAGAATCACTGTGATTATTTCAGGGGCTTTCCTCATGTCCCTTAAGTCATAAAATAGAGGCAACTGATTTCTTATATAGCCCAGTCTAGTTTAAGCTTCTGACATCTCTTTATCTTGGTTATTTTTCAAAGCCACAATTTAAATTTTACAAAAAGCCAATGAATCCTTTTTTTTATGTAAGCTTTTTTTAAAAACTGTACTAATTTATCACTGTTAACTTAACAGGAACCTTTCCTATAACCCAATCCAGAAAATCAAAGCAGACCAATTTGACTATCTAGTCAAACTCAAGTCTCTGTAAGTATATGGACTTTGGTGGGATAGAGATTTATGATGACTTCAATTTTCAGACAGCAACATGTAGCTTTTTAATATAACCCTTCATTTCTTAACCTTTTAGAAAGGGATATTAGGAAAAATCTTACAAGAACTTATGAGTACCAACTAGCTAAATTAATATGTGACTGTGGCCCAGTGTCTCTCTATTAGAGAGTTCTGAGTTCACACAGATAGTCTGATCCTGGAGGGAAGAGGGTCATTTTCTTCTCTTTACCACTACCTGGAGTTACTCATGGAAAATTTCTAACTATATAACATTGGGCTCTCATGTGGGTTCCTTCAAATATGTTTAACAGAGGTCTGGCTCCCTCCCAGAGAGATATTCAAAGTAGTAATGTATATGATGAGTGGGACAGCTTTTCTTTCACTTCACAAAAAATGCAGAATATGCAAGAGACTGAAAAGAGTCCATATGCAGAAACACATAAAGCTCTCAGATCCCCGTGGAAAAGAACTGAATTTGGGGCTGCTATTGGTGCAACACTTTGACATTTGGGAGGATTCTAACCCTCCAAAAAATCCTACACAGTCATACCCTGTGATTTGTATTCTTCCAAGAGCAAACACATTATGGGGTGGCTGAATAAGCAATCCTCTTCGAGTGGGAGATGTACTACATGAAATAACTCACTGAATCTCCAAGTAGGATGCTGCTCATGAACTAAAGCAAGAAATCTTTTTCTCTCTCCAAAGAAATCCCCTCTTCTCTCCAGAAGATCTAATCCCTGAACTCTCAAACTTGGAATCACCCATGAGGCAATCACCAATGCTTGTACTGTCTAGGAAATCTTCCTTCTTAGTCAAGATAACTAGGTTCCCAAACCACATTGCTTTCAGAATTGAACATTCCCTCCTCTTACACACAGGAGTTAAGAGCTCACAAGCATTGTCCATTAACTATTCTCTCGGTTGAATGGCCACACATATCTGTTTCAGTAAGAGAAAGAGGAGGAGGAATTATAATAATTAGCATTTATATAGTGCTTTAAGGTTTAAAAAGCACATTACAAATATTATGTTATTTGATCCTCACAACAGTTATGGGAAGTACATTTTGCAGATGAGGAAACTGAGGCACAGAGATAAATGATTTGCCTGTGGCCACACTGCTAGTAAGTGTCTGAGGTCAAATTTGAACTTGTTTTCCTGACTCCAGATCCACCACGCTATCACTGTACCACCTAGCTGCACATGTTTCTGCAGGAAATCTATCTGTTCCCTGGCTGCTCCATTTTCTTTGGCTGAGAAAGTTTGTACTCATGCTTTTTCCTCTTGAGCACATGTTATTCCTATGTGTCTCTGTCCCAATACAGCCATTTCCAATCCCTGGGAGAGGAGACTATTCAAATTCAGATTCCATTCCCCTCCTTCTACTTCCACCCCAACCCAGGTCTTGCTCTGCTTTGTATTGGTCTGTCATTTGATCAGGAAAGCAAAAGCAAAATACAAAAGAGACCATGCTAGTTTGTCAGTTTGCTTTCATGTACCACATACCAGGGACAGCTCCACTGTTAAACCTGACCTTCTGAGCATCAGCCAACCAATCATCTTGGAAGCAGCCCCAATTACTTGCAACCAGTCAGGAGTTCTGCATCCCCTCAGTAAAATTCCAGTGGTCGTCCCCTCCTCCCTCATATGTCTCCAAACAAAAACTGAATTTCATCAAGTTGATTGGGAGATAGTCACCAAATTGATGAAGAACTATGTAGGAGATCCTTTTCTTTCTTCAAAGAAGTCTTCCTCGTTTAACTTCTGCAAATAATAATCATTTCCATTTACATAATGCCTTAAACTGTACAAAGCTCTTTCCCTGCCAAAACGCTGTAAAATAGGTAATGAAATTCTCATTAGACCCACTTGAAGAGAAAACTGAAGCACATAACAGTCAAGTGACTTACCTAAGGTCACACAGTTGGTAAACATTAGAACCTCAGAGCTGAAGATTCAACACCAGATGTTCAGCATTCTTTCCCATGTTCCATACTTGCCCCTCAGGAAAGAGAAAATAAGAGGATGCTTATGTTCATTCTAGTTATACAGTATATATTTATGCAAAGTAGCTCGGCGATAGAATAAATAGAGTGCTGTCCTTGGATTTAGGAAGACCTAAGTCCAAATTCTGCCTCAGAACCTCAATTAGTAAATGACCCTGGTTAAGTTATCTTACCTCTTTCAGTCTATTTGCCCATCTGCAAAATTCAGATAAAAATAGAACTCACTCCCAGGGTTGTTGTGAGGATCAAATGAAATATTATATATAAAGTGCTTTGCAACACATAAAGTGATTTTATAACCCACTTTAAAATTTTGCTACACATTCCCAGAAGATACCATTTGAGTTTTTGCTTTGAGCCTCTACAGGTAACCTATTCAGTAAACTTCCATAATGGGTCCTGAAACTCCTTTTCCTTCCCATTGATTTTTCCCACCACTCTTCCCCCTGACCTCTTGCACAGTACCACCAAATATTGTGGTACCCTATTTTGCCAAAGCATACAGCCCTATTCTCTACTTTCTCTCCTCCCTTAACTTTTTAGTAAAGAAAAGACAAAATATCAAAAACTAAAATACAAAATTTGAGTTCAGAAGTTTGAAAACCTTTTCTAATAGTTTATGAAAGCATTTTTTTTTCTTTTTAAACAAGCTACTTTGACATTACCACAGTAAAATGATTGACAAAAGATATTAAGAATAAGATGTCAGTTTGGAGAAACTCTCTTATGAACATTTGCAGCTAGACTATACATCAGTTACCTAAAACCATTACACTTCACCTGAATTGAGGTCAATTTATTGAAAACTGATTTTCCTAAAATCAACTCACTTAATAATGGCCCTCACCTAAATTTTGTATTTCAAATAAGATAGAATTCTCTGATTTTAAGTGAAATGGTCATGGGTCAATTGACCTACTTCCTACAAAAACTGATGGCAAAGCAGTAGAGAAATTTTCTCCAGTTCTAAGCAAGTCTTATCTCCATATTTACAAATGAGTTTTTTCCTCACATGAGCTATCATATAAGAATATATCTGTAACTGATTACAATCCAAACTTAAACATAAAAATTTTTGTTATCTAGTGTTTTGTCTTCTCTTTTCTTTCATTAGCTTTGAATTATCAAGATGACCATAATTCATCCTTGTATTTTTTCCCAAAAGGATGGGATTTAAGTCTAACAAATCTTGAGTAACTAAATTGTATAATCTACAACATCATTCATTTGTTTTCATTTAGTGTGATAACTTTAGTGTGTATGTGCATGGGGAAAACTGCAAGTACCTATTTTTCCATCTATTATGTAATACAGACTGAAAGGAATTAGCTTGGATATGATTCTGAAGTAGTGCTGAATAGTATTATGAGTTCTATCATGCCCAACAACAGCTTTTGTCATGCTATAGATTTCATATCTCTTGCTTTATGTGATTTTGAATTTGATATTTTTAGAAGCCTAGAAGGAATTGAAATTTCAAATATCCAAAGAAGAATGTTTGCACCTCTTAGGAATCTATCCCACATGTAAGTTTTTCCCCCTCAGCTCTTCATCTTGTTAATCTATTACCTGTTCCTAACATGCTTGTATAAAATATTGTTACCAAGTGCACATACTAGACAATTTTTACTATCTCATATGCTTATAAAAGTAGCTAATGCTATTACCCATACCAAGGGGGACTTTGTGTGGATAGTGGAAAGAAAGCTGCCTTTGGAATTAAAGAACCGTAGGCTGGGCTCTGCCACTTACTACTCGGGTAATTAACCTTGAGCAAGTCCTGACGGCTGTGGAAGTTGATTTCTTCATCTGTAAAATGAAGGCGTTCTGCTAAATGACCTGAAGGTCTTTTCCAGCTCTAAATCTGTGATCTTATGATCCCATAAGTATCAAAGAAAATTTCTGGGCATGTGATCAACACAGATCTGCAACAACTATCCCATGGCTCTGTCTCATGCACAGAAGAACACTATTGAGGGTCCCTCCCGACATCTTATAATTTGTACACCATGGGTGAGCAGGACTGGAGTTGCCTCAGTGCTGTAACTGCTATAAACATGAGGCTATAGTAATTCTGCCTCTGCCAGCTATGTGTTTGTATACTCTGGAATCAAAAGGGTGTGGATGAAATTTCATCCCTGGAAAATTTCTTTAGCAAACACTATTAAGAAATACCAACAGTATCAAAATCAATTTTAAAACTGTTATTTTCAAATTTTTATACCCAGAGAGTTCTGGAATCTACAAGTGATCTAGTTTATTGATATAATTAGATAAATACATATGCCTAACGCTCAGAATTTCTTACCATTCCCATGCCATATGAACAACAGTTTTATTAATGGTCTAACATCTTTTAGACTGATTATACCAGCACCCTTGTTTACCTGACTTGCATATGTATTTACAGTGAAATCAAATTCCTGTGCCTCCTTTTGCAGAGGGAATAGATTTGGAATTAGAGAACCTGGTTTCAGTCTCTGCCACTTCATACTCATATGAAATGGAGCATCTCTTCATCCCTCTGAGTCTAAGTTTCACCATCAAGAAAATGAGGGAATTCAAGTAGATAATCCATAAGGTTCACACCAAAGCTAAATGTACAATCCCATGAAAATTAAATTTATATTTAAAGCTACAGCATTTGTATTCTATATTTGTATTCTATATATGATGTCATAGGATCTAGAACTGGAAGAGATCTTGCATCTACTCCAACCCATTGATAAAGAAATGAAAGAGAAGATAAGTGACTAGCTAGGACTTCATTTGACTCCAAGTTCTCTGATTCTAATTTCTATTCTAAATTCAATTCTGATTTTAAATTCAATGCTCTTTCTACTAGACTCCACCACAATGTCCCCACAATCAAGATTTTTTTGACTGGGGGAGAGATGGAGAAAGTCCATAAAAATGAATATGAATATGATATGTGAATATTTTGATCTAATTTGAAAATATCATTTGACTTCTTTTGTCCAACAGATATTTTAAGAAATTCCAGTACTGTGGCTATGCTCCACATGTACGCAGCTGCAAGCCAAATACTGATGGAATTTCATCATTAGAGAATCTCTTAGCTAGCATCATTCAGAGAGTGTTTGTCTGGGTTGTATCTGCAGTTACATGCTTTGGAAATATCTTTGTCATCTGCATGCGGCCTTATATCAGGTCCGAGAACAAGGTTCATGCCATGTCAATCATCTCTCTCTGCTGTGAGTATTCCTCCTAGGGAAAGCAAATTTTTTGGCTATTCACAATCATTACTGTTAGAGAATAAGCAAATTTTTTCCAGAGTCACAGTCTATTCTGTGGCTTCTTTTCATAGTCCCCCTAAAGATTTAATATGTAAAACTCTGGGAGCAAGGAAGCCCAGACCTGGGATTTCATCCAGATGGGCAATTCTGGATGTAGAAAATCCTCCTCCACTGTTAGAGATTGGCAACTCATCTGCAAGTTAGAGTCTTAGAGGGATGCATAAGGGCACAGAGAAGTTAGGTAATTTACTCAGTCATTTAAGAAGCATCAGGGACAGGACTTGAAACCAGATCTTTCTGATACAAAGACCATCACTTTTATGGACTATGTCATCATACTGGCTGACTGTCTTAGATAAATAATATTGTGAGATCCTATGAGCAAATTTATAAAGTACTATGTGTTGATTCTTATTTCTCTCTTCCCCTTCTGCCCTTCCCTCCCAGGCCTCCCACCCCACCAATGAAGTCATGACCCCAGGAGAGTAGAACAACTGGGCTGTTTTATGATGTAAGCATTTGATGCAGTGCCCAATTTCATTAAAATCATTCTTGCAGGAATCTATACATTATTAAATTCCCTTGGTACCCCCAAGCACCCAGATGTATCCCACACCTCCCTTCCCATGCATCCTTCTCCAAAGACAAAGAAGCGTGTCAGCCCCTGGCTAGAACTAGTTTCCTCACAGAGGTCCTAGAGTCAAATTCCTTTGCAAAGATATAGTTTAGTGATATTATTTATTAGCTCCTTAAGACTAAGCTTCTCTATAAACAAGCAGTTCTCAGTCAGTTTATACCACTTATCTACTGATTGTTTGATATGCTAGCAATACAAAAGCAAGTTGGGGGAGACTATAGACTTATCACACTGAAGTTTTAGCTTTTAAAATTTCTGTAGTGGGCCCAGATTCTCAATGGTGTGAATATTCCTCCCCAGCAATGTAGATATACAGCCCATCCATATTTTCTCATCCTGTGCAAATTTTCCCATATCTTCCTCACACAAATCCTACAGAGAATACCTACCTGACATTTTAAAGCACTTCTGAGAAGTCTTGAGATCATATTCAGAAAGAAAGAAAGAAAGAAAGAAAGAAAGAAAGAAAGAGAAAGAAAAGAAAGAAAAAAGGTCCTTTAACACAGAAATTCTTCATATTCTTTTTGTATCATGGACTCATCAATTTGATGAAGCTTATGGACTTCTCAGAATAATGTTTTTAAACAGAATACATGGGATTTCAAAGGAAACCAATTATATTAAAACACAATTATCAAAATAGTTTTAAAAGACAGTTCACAGACCCCAGGTTAAGAACCCCTGGTCTAACAGGACCTAAGATCTAACCATTTCACTGTAAAGTGTTGGAAGAAACCTTAAGAAATTATCTAATTTAATTGAATTTCCCTTATACCCAGGGGAAATTTAATGCCATTAAGTTTTTTAATTTGCATTTGCCATTTTTTATTGGTAGACTATCATGATTCAGTACTATGTGTCATTCATTCCATATACACAGTATATCCAGTATATCCTAGTACATCCAGGAGACTATGCTACATCCATGGGCCTATGCTGGACAAAGCCTGTACTAAACATGTTGAGCTGAATAAGAAACAAACACCATCCTTGAGGAGTCTGTAGTCTAGGAGATAACCCTAAAATTTGGGTCAAGGTGCCCTGGAAATTCCTATCCCTTCAACCAAGTAAAAGCATTAACCTCTTAACTCTTCACTTATTTTTCATTCTGCCTCTTCCCACCCTCCTCCCCAAAAGTTCCTATTTGGAGGAAAATAATCTCAAGTGGATCAGTATGTGTTGCTTAGGCAACAGAACTCAGGAACCTTTTTTAGCTCCAAATTTTCAACAAAATACTTGGGCCCAGTCAGTGGTTTATCAGGCAATGACCTAACTTTACCCTTTTGTGGGATCAGGGCTAGTTTTATACAATGATGTAATCTCTGGAGTAGTAGAATGGCCCCTCTGAGCCAACAAAATCTCCCCTCATTTTCTGCTTGATGACTCTTTAGGTAGAAGAGATAGGGACTGAACTTCTGATTGCATTATAGGAAACCCTCTACTAATCCACAAGGGCACTCTCTCTTGTAATTTATAGTCTTACAGCATTTTCCTGGGGCACTGAAAAATGACTTTCTTAGGGTCGTACATCCAGAATGTGTCCAAGGCAGGACCTGAATCCAGCTCTTCCTGGTTCCAAGGCCAGCCCTCTATCCACTAATATACCATGCTGTCTCTCCATGGCTCCTTATTGAGGGACAGAGCATTCCATTCCTTAGTTAGAAATTCCACAGACAAATACTATCATGCTATAAGAAGTGATGAACAGGATAGCTTCAGAAAAACCTGGGAAGTCTTATATGAACTGATGCAAAGTGAAGTGAGTAGAACCAGAAGAATATTGTACACAGTAACAGCAATGTTGTATGATGATCGACTGTGAATGACAACTATTCTGATCAATATGACAATTAATGTAAGATAATTATGAAGGACTTATGATGAAAAACACCACTTCCAGAGAAAGAACTAGAGTCTGAATGCAGACTAAAGCATCATTTTCTTGCTGTCTTCATTTTTCTTGTTTGTGTGTGTGTGTGTGTGTTTTCTTTTGCAACATGGCTAATATGGAAATATGTTTGCATGACTACATATATATACATATTTATATATATATATATACACACATATATATAATAGATATATTGTTTGCCTTTTCAAGGGATGGGATTTCAAGCAGGAAGTCAAGAATTTGGAACTCAAAAATTTTAAAAAATAAGATGTTTTAATGTAATTGGGAAATATTTTTTAAAATATACAAAAGCATACTTTAAAAAAGAAATTCCACTGACTTATACTGCAAATACCTCTCAAGAGAGCCAAAATATCAACTTACCATTCAGTCTGTTATGACATCAAAGCCTTTTCAGAAGGCAGATTTTGATTGAAAAGGCACAGGATCTCAGAAGTTGGAAAAAGGAATAGGTTCTCAGAAATAAGAAAATAGTACATGAAAAGGAGACAGAGGTACAGAAGGCAGTAATCTGGGGAATAATTTTCAATCTTTGAATTCTGAAGAGCACTGCATGATCATTTGCATGTATTTTCCATAATGAGGTTCAAGATCTCCAGTCAGCAGCTACTGGATTACCTTCCATAGGACCAAATTCAGACACCAGTTTCTAGATCTCTCCTCAAATTGTCAAGCACAGCTGCAAAGAATCAGATTGGTGGTTGTTTTGTGTTTTTTTTTTTAATTTACCTATTAGTTTCCACTGCTGCACTCTGTTAGCGACAAGCAGTGGACCAGACAGGACATCAGTCACTCTGACATGCCAACTACACTGTCAAGGAGAGGTGTAGAATGCTGATGCGCTTCTCATCATTGATCAGACTTACTCTCAAGTCACTGACAGGGCTCGCTGAATTCTATTCAAATGTAATAATTGCAAAGAAAAACATTCTCATTTAATTTGATTTTCAAACAATATTGCTTCTTGTGAAATAGGAAAAAATGTTCTAGTATCTATTTATGCTTCTATATGTGTTCTATTTACTGATTTTTATAGGTGCTGACTGCCTGATGGGAATATATTTATTTGTGATTGGAGCCTTTGACTTGAAGTATCGTGGAGAGTACAATAAACATGCACAGTTATGGATGGATAGTACTCACTGCCAGCTAGTAGGATCTTTGGCCATACTGTCCACAGAAGTATCAGTTTTACTTCTAACTTTTCTGACTTTGGAAAAATATATCTGCATCGTCTATCCTTTTAGATGTTTGAAACCTGGAAAATGCAGGACAATTATAATCCTGATTCTTATATGGATTATTGGGTTTGTGGTGGCTTTTATTCCACTGAGCAACAAGGAATTTTTCAAAAACTATTATGGTACCAATGGAGTCTGTTTCCCCCTTCATTCAGAACAGGGAGAAAGTACTGGCGCACAGATTTATTCAGTAATTATTTTTCTTGGTAAGAAACTATTATCTCACTCCATTCAGTTGGTGGTAAAATAATCTGCAATTCAGAGCTCATCATATTTTATGAACTCTATGATTTTTATTTCAGATTGTCATCTAAGTAAAAAGTCAGATATTAGGGAAGCATTAGAAGAGCCTAGAGAAACTATAATCTAATGCAAGTTACCCACCCCTGATCTAATTCCTTGTTTTTCAGATAAGAAAACTAAGGACTAAATTAGTAAAGTGATTTACTTATGATCTTGGTAACTTGATACAGCAATTTAGTGACAGATCAAGGACCTTGATCTCCTGATTGTCCAGTATAGTATGCTTTCCACCAGAACACTAGGTTCTACAGACAACTAGGCTTTGCTCCAGGGTCCTGAAATGTTGAAAGTACTGACAGCATTTGTAGTTCCTTAGTAGCGAATACCTAGTTAGCAAAAAATAGTTAAAATGAAAGCTACTATGTATTGCCTATGGCCAAATCCCAGGTGAACACCTCTGCCCTGTCCCCTACTTCCATCTCACCGTTCCCCTCACCTAGCTGGTTTCACAGTGCCGTAGAGCGAACCTCAACTGAATTGACTGTGTATTATATATCCCTTGAGTTAGATATATGTTGTATGCTCACCCCAGGTGCATTCATTACTAGTTACAGATTTTTCTCTGCCTTCCATTAATATAAGCAAGCTATAATATAATGCAGATAGTTAAAATCTAAATCACTTAAACTTAGGAATTTTTACCAGCCTCTTTATAAATTCCAATGTGGAAGTGAAATTTGGGTCCTTTGCATTTATGATCTTAACACACGTGTGTGTGCTTTAAGTAGCACCTGTGAAATCAGCATATTAAAATATATATTTAGATTTAAAGTGTAGAAGAAAGTGCTTGAATTGTGAAAAATTAACATCACTATTCCTAGAAAGTTTGATATGCTCAGGCACAATGAAACATTAGAATTCTTAGTTTTACTCTACCACTTTCCATATTACATGTTCCATCATTCCTAACAAATGCAGGACAGCTACAAATGAAATCTTAGTATTTCCACATGCTATATTAACTTTTAATGTAGAACAAAGAAGCTCATGTTACATTTCCAGCAACTTCTCTTTAACAATATTGATAGTAACACTGAACTATGGAATGCTTTATGCTTTCCAGGTCAGAGTCACATGGGGACTAATGGGACTTATCTCCTAAACAGGTGTTAACTTGGCAGCCTTTATCATCATCGTTTTTTCCTATGGGAGCATGTTTTACAGTGTTCACCAAACTGCTGTTACTGCAACAGAAATCCGGAATCATGTTAAAAAGGAAGTGACCCTTGCCAAACGTTTTTTCTTCATTGTGTTTACGGATGCCTTGTGCTGGATACCCATTTTTATATTGAAATTCCTTTCCCTGCTTCAAGTAGAAATACCAGGTATGACATTGGGTTCATTTTTTTTTCTTTGTGAGTGACAAATAACAAAATTCCTCTTTCTGCTATATTTTGCTAAGAAGAGATGATTGAAAGTCTAAATCCAAAATCCTCTTGAGGGATTTATGTTAAAAATTTGTGTGCTTAGTCCATCAGCAAAAACGTTGGGTTTTTTTTTCCTTAAAGGGACTTCTGGGCAGTGTCTTTCGTGAGTATCTAATAGCATGATGCTTATTAGACAGAGGAATGGAGGCCAGCATGTATTGATGACCTGCTCAGAATTATCTACTGCTAACAGTAACTCAGAAAAATCAACCTGGAAAATCCAGTAACCACTTGCATTTTGCTTGAAAAATAGACATTCCATTGTCTTCCTTCTAAATTTTATTTAGTTCAGGTTTTGGGTTTTTTTGTTGATTTTGCTTTATTCACTCTGCATAAGGTCATACAAATCGTTCCGTGTTTCTCTGAATTCTTCTCATTATCATTTTTTACTGTATTGACATTCATACACTATAGTTAAATAACAAGTAATTATAATAAATAATAAAAACTAATTTACATAGCCTGCAGACACAACCAATTTAGATGGGGAACTACCAGGTGACAGCATGATACAACCTGATGCCTTTGGAGTCAGACCTGGGTTTAAGTTCCAGTATGGCCAGTCTGTGCCATTAAGATCATGTATAAATTACTTAATCCCTAGGAGATGTGCATTTCTTGTCTGAGGGATAAGGAAAATAATATTTGTGCTACCTCTCTCACAGGACTGTTGTGAGGAAAGCAGTCACTAAGCCCTTAAGTGCTATTATAGGAGAGTTATTAAGGTGATGGAAGAAAGCATACAAATACTAAAGACTGGACAGTTAGGAGTAGATATGTAGGGTTTCCCAGGAGGCTTAGTTCAATTTTAAACCATTAAAGTTTAATATTAAAGTTTGAAGAGCTTTCACAGCTTAAACCTGCACTAAGATTTTGGGAATGCCCTGTAAATTGGAAGATATACGTCTACATGCATATGTGTACATTTGTACAAATATGTACATATATATGTATATATATATATACACATAGATATTCCACATGCAAATAATCAAGTATTCATAGTCATAGTTTTGTTTTTATATTGATATCTTTTGCTTTATATCACCTTCATTTCTATATATAACCTCCACTACAGAGACCCATCCCTTATAACAAAGAGAAAAAAAAAGGCAAGTTAGCCAAAAAAAAAAAAAGAGAGAGAGAAAAAAGCTTAAACAACACCTGAGTCTGGCAATGTTTTACATCCATACTATCCTCCTCTGCACAGAAGGGAAGAGAGCTAGAAGAGAATTTCAAGCCTAGCTAGTCCCCTCATTTTATAGATGAGGAAAATTGAGTCTCAGAGAAGCAAAATATCTTGCCCAAGTTCAGTCAACTCATTAGGAGTAGAGCTATGAAGAGGAAAATGAGTCCAACAGTAAAAGAAATGCAAATTAAAACAATTCTGAGGTATCTCATAAGATGCAAATTGGCTAAAATGACCAAAAAAATTGAAGAAAATCAGGGTTGGAAAGACAGACACACTAATATACTATTGGTAGAGTTGTGAATTGGCCAAACTGTTCCAGATTATGCAAGAGACATGACAATAATGACCTATTCCTGATTAGATAAAAAGAAACCACTAGCTCTGGTGTCAAAAGACCTAAGTTCAAATAGTATCTCTAACATTTATTACCTGTATGACCTTGTCCCTATAATTGGTTGAACTAGGTAGCCTCCTTTGACCCAGCAGTCCCACTACTGGGCATCCCAAGAAAGTCAAAGGTTCAATATATACCAAAATATTCATAGGAGCACCCTTTGATAGCAAAAACTGGAACCAAAATACATGTCCATCAGTAGTGGAATTCTTTTTGTGTATAGATTTTCCAAGATGGCTTAACATAATGCCCTAGAACTTAGCACAGTGCCTGGTACATAGTAGGAGCTTAATAAATGTTTATTGATTCCAACTTTGAAATCCTATGATTCTATAACTGGGTAATGGCTGAAAAAAAAAGCTATGGTATATGATTGTAAATTAATAGTGTGATGCAGTAAGAAATTATATATGTGAAGAGTTAAGAGAAACATGGGAAAATTTGTATGATAATGCAGAATGAAGTAAGCAAAAATTTATATATATGTATATACATACACACACAGTGAATACAATAATATTAATGAAAAGACTACTAAAGGAAAGCCAAATACGTAACTGAAAAACCCATCAAAGTGTCAGAGAACAAATAATGAAACAAATTTCCCTCTGAATGGCAGGGAAGCAGGGGACTATTATGGTAAAATGATATACATTGTCAGATGAGTTTCTGCTTGATTGTTTCTCTTTGCCTCAAGGGACAGCTGAATCTTGAGGTAGACAAGTTTGGGTTGGTTGTGTTTTTTTCCTAGAAATAACTGATGTAAAGACAAAAGGCATGCATTTTCCTGACTCCACGCATTCAAAAAAATTATAGTCAGTGCCTCAAACTTATTGCCTCCACATACTTACCTGGTGAAATCCCCTTAGCCCAGGAAAATGAAACGAGTACTACATTGTCTGGATCTTACATGTTCTTGCTAAAGGTTTGTTGAACAGAGTTGTATTAAAATATCGCTTTCAAAAACAATGTTGTGATGAAACACTTCTGAAACAATGTTTGGAAATGTATTTATAGACCAAACATATAGTCAAATGGCATCAGAAGAAAAGTAAATCAAGAAGTTGGGGAGGGAGGTGTTGGGGGGGGGGAAGAACATGGTTTTTGGAAAATAGCATTAAATAAAAAAGCTAAGACTATTTAATATTTTTTTCAGGTACCATAACTTCTTGGGTAGTGATTTTCATTCTGCCTATCAATAGTGCTTTGAACCCCATTCTCTACACTCTGACTACAAGACCATTCAAAGAAATGATTCGTCAGGTTTGGTATAACTACAAGCAGAGAAGATCAGTCGAAAGCAAGGGCAGTCAGAAGACCTATACTCCATCATTCATCTGGGTAGAGATGTGGCCAGGTCAGGAGATCCCACCTGAGCTGATAAAGCCTGCTCTTTTTACAGACTCTTGTGAAATGTCCCTAATCACTCAATCAACAAGAACCAATTCGTATACATAACCATATTCTAAAATTAGAAAATCCACAATGAACACCACTATCTGTTTCAAAGTGGATTTACTCTTACCAAAACAAAGCTGTAAAATAACTAGTTTATACTAGACCCAGAGGAAGATTTAGAAAAGACCAATAGGAAGGCTTCCAGTATGCTGGATCTCTTTGGTGGAAGATTTATAGAAGGGATAGCCACAGACAGCACAGGATGAGAGGATGCGCATGAATTGTGATCTGCGCCAGCCAAAGGACCCGTACCAATGAGCCCATGGATCCATAGAAGTACACTAGAGGAGGACAAATCAATTGGCTAACAAGGATACCTGATTGTAGCTCCTCTGGAAAAAAAGGGGGAGCTCAATTCCACATAGAGGGAAATTATAGAGGACAGTGAGCTGAGAGTAGTTCATATATTGCATGGGAAATTCAAAAACAAAACTTCACAGAGGATTGTTTGGATCTATTTTCAGTCTGCAACATACAATTATTCACGTGCAACAAAGATGTCATCTGCTAAATAATTGGGTTCCCAGTAATAGGTGGGGATTTTGTTGACTTTGTAGTTTCAGTAAATACAAGAATTACACTTTTCTTCTGAAGTTTCTAAATATATGGGGAGCACTCGGTTTCAAAGAATCTGAAAAAAGTAGCAGAGGGAAGCACACCGGATTTGCAATCAGAGGACATGAATTTGAATCCTGGTTCTGAAGCTTAGAACCTAAGTAACCTTGGGCAAGTCACTTAAGGTCTTTCTAGGCCTAAGTTTCCTCATCTGCTAAATGAGGGATTGAAATCTAAGGGTGGATCTCTAAGGTTCCTTCCAGCTTTAAATCTATAATGCTATGATCTTGATCATTTATAAAAGACTCAGAGATATTTCTTCATTAAGAATCCACTTCTTTCATTTCCTCTTATTTGAGGACACCTGTACACACACCTCACACATGAAGCCAAGCACGGCTATTACTTTCTTTTTGCAACATTTTGCAACAGTCGCAACATTTTGCAACAATATAGATGGGGGGGAGAGGGCCACATAGCAGGGTCTAAGCAAGAAGACAGTGAGTAGCTCTAATGCTTTTCTGCAGGTCAGAAAATTCAAGGGACCTGTGTCCTGTAAGAGGAGAGTTGTCACTGAATACTACACCTTGTTATGTGCATGACCAATTCATATGATAACTACTTTGTGACTAAATGATTTTCATCTGAGAACTGCTAGAATCTTATTTCCAATTTGAAAATTTCTCTAAAAGGAGGAAAATGTTTGGTTTTTTTCTGCTAAACAAAAAAGGAATTTTAAGTGTGATTTTTAATGTTTACAAGTCTTCAAACTAGCTTACAATGAGGAACTGATGAGTATGTGTATATACTGTTTCTTTTGACAATAAAGTTACTTGAACCATAAGCTGATTTTAAATGTTTTTTTAATATATATACAAAAAGTCATATGGTGCTTTGGGTCAAATTTTTCAGTCTAATTTGAAATTATCCCCAACCCAAGTATTCATTTTTTTTATGTGAAGAAAACAAGATACTTTAAACAAAAGGGGAAAAAAAACAACATAAAAGTTGTTCCTTCTATAATATTTGATATTTTCCTTTACTAAGCATTCAATTCCACAAATTGGGCAACGTGCCTACTATGTGCAAGGAACTATGCTAGGTGCTGGGAACACAAAGACAAAAAAACTACAAGTGTCTGCATTCAGTTATTAAAGATGATGTTCACATGAGATGTTCACAAACTAAACATATCAGGGAGTGATAAAGGCAAAGGAAGAATCTAAACGAAGACATTTATAGACCAACAAAAATCTAGGTCTACATCAAAAGTATATAATGAACAAAACATAGCACCCCCTTAAAATTATCATCTTTTCAATAAAGTAGCAAATAATGTAATAATCAAATTATAAGATGAGTAGAAATAGGGTTTCATACATTATAGGAATGGATCAGAAAAATGTATTTGTCTTAAGAAGAATAAAAGTATTAATTACCTAACATATGTAAATAATCACGAAGGCATAACAAATGAATGATTATGATATGATGTGAAATATGATATATATGATAATATGATAATATGATAAGCACCAGGGATACAAATACAAGCAAGCAATATAGTCCATGCTTGCAAAGAGCTTACATTCTGAGAAAAAAAAACAAAGCTAAAAAATAAAGCAAAGTTAGAAAGGGAGAGGGGGACTTGGGACTCATCTATCAAATGAGCATAGGATCTCAGGGGCAGAATCCAAATACAGGTGGGAAGGGGATGGTAAGAAAAATGCAGTCCTGAAAATAATATGGTCCTATCTTGAACTGTTCAAACTGTTAGAAATATAATTAATTTCCATAATATAGGGTGGAGGAGAGAATAATGGAGAAATTCTTAGAGTGGGGTAGGTTAAGGAATAGGAGGGCAACAGGTAGAAGTAAAGTAGAGGAATGAGGAGAGATAGAGTAAGAAGGTAAGAAAGATAGTGAGAGAAAATAAGAAGGAGAAAAATTCACAAGTACTTATAGTTTAGAATGTGAATGGGGTGAATTTATCCATAAAACAGAAATGAATAGCAGATTAAAATTTTGAATTCAACAATATGTTGCTTTCAGGAAACACAATAAAAACGAGAGATGCACACAAAGATAAAATAAAGGGTAGGAGCAGAATTTATTATGTAAAAAAAGCAAGGGTAGAAATCATGATCTCAGACAAAGTTAAAGCTAAAATAGGTTTTATCAAAAAAGAAAATTAGGAAAACTACACTGTATGTCAGCAATATTATTCAATATTGTTTTAGACTATTTAAAATAACTAGACAGTATAAAATACCTGAAAGTGTACCTGCCAAAACAGACACAGGAACCTATGAACATAAACATAAAACTTTGTATACAAATAAAGTCAGATCTAAGTGATTGAAGTAACATTTATTGTTCATGGGTAGGTAAAACCAATATAATAGAAAATGAAAATTTTACCTAATTAATCTATTTATTTAATGCCATCCCAATTAAATTCCAAAAAAATTATATTACTGAGTTAGAAAAAATAATATCAAAATTCATTTGGAAGAACAAAAGGTCAGGAACTTCAAAGAAACCAGGGAAAAAAGATGTAAAGGAAGCAAATTCAGTAGTATCAGACCTTAAACTATATTATAAGGTAAGAGCATTATTGAAGTATAAAATGGATATTTTTGATTACTTTAAATTAAAATTTTCTTGTATAAATAAAATCTATGCAGCCAAGAATAAAGGAATACAGAAAACTGGGGGAAACTTTCATAGACAGTCTCTCAGTTAGGATGTGATTGGGTTGGAATACTGCTGTGGTGGAGGAAATGATGAGGTGGTTGATTTAGAAAAATATGGAAAGACTTGTACTTATGAAGGAAGATGCTATCCACCTTCAGAGAAACAGATGACAAATGGAAATAAGGATGGTATGGTCTTACACATATATGTACGAGTGTATTTGTGTATATATGTGTATGTTTATAGATGTATGTGTGCTGTGCTGGATGTGCTAGAGCCAATCAGTTGTTAAATTTTCAGCGTGAACATTTATTTACACCTTAGAAATGAGCAAACTACAGATCAGGGCTCAATTTATTGCTTTGTTGACTGTGCTGACTTAATAAAGTAACACAGAAGATGTTAAAAAAAATTTCCAAAATATGTTTCTCTGAAAAATCTCCTTCAGTCTACAAGCAATTCCATAACTTATTTTTCCAAATCCCTAAAAATGTCTTTTGATTTTCCCATCTACTCCAACCACTAGCATCTCCTATCACCAGTAGACCAATTTCAATTTAATTTAGTATTAAATTCAATTAATTAAACTAAATTTAATCAACTGGTATTTATTGAATTTACTATATGCCTAGGTCATCTAGGTATTATAGATGATGTTAAAGATGCATGATATAATATAAAGTGGTGATCACGTCTGGGGTTTAATTTGAGAAATATAACTTAGTCCTAAATTGGAAGAACTATTATGTGAGCCAGACCTGTTCTCAGAAACTTGGGGTACTACACATACTTGGTGGGGAGAGAACATGGAAGATGATCCAGCAAAGGAAGCTGAGGAGTAGTCAGCCCCATAGAAAGAACTAGCTTACAGCAGTATTCCAGAATTCAAATGAGGAGTAAGTATCCAGGAGAAGGTAGTTGACAATGTTAAAAGCTGCCAGAGTTGAAGAAAAATGAGGACTGAAGGTCATCATTATCTATTAAAGTCTTGCTTTTTCCCTTCTCAAATTTTCATCAAGTATAATGAAAGACAACATGAAAGAGGACTTGGATGTTTGAAGACCTTGATTCACTCTAGCTTTGATACTTTTCCTCTTGTCATCAGGAGGAAGTCCCTTAATCTTTGTCTCAGCTTCCTCATTTGTAAAATCAGGGCATTAGACCATTTGCTCTTAAGGCCCTTCCAATTCTAGATGCTCTGAACCTATCTATGACTAAATTCATCAGGGTTTGATGATTGACTTAGCTCTTCTCAGTAATACAATAATCCAAGACAATTCCAAAGAACTCATGATGAAAAATGCTATCCACCTCCAAAGAAAGAACTGAATGAAAGAGTCTAAATGCAGAGTGAAGCACACTATTTTTACTTTATTTTTTTCATAGTTTTTTTCCTTTTGTTCTTTTTCTTCTTTCACAACAAGACTAATATGGAAATATGTTAACTACCTTGTAAGCTAGCCATTCCACTTTTGGATACTCTTAATTGCTAGAAGTCTTCCTTATGTTGAGTTGAAATCTGTGTCCACATAATTTCCACTCAGTGATCCTAACTTTGCTCTCCAGAACTACAAAATAAATCTGATCCTTTTTTTTCCTCAAAGGCTCTCTTTGATATTACAAGAAATCCCTTCACTTATTATGACTTTTATATCACCCTCCCCAACTACTTCCCCAACCAAAATCTTCTCCAGCATAAACAACTCCAATTCTTTCAACCATTCCTCATATGAGATAGTTTCCAGACA